GACCTCACGATAGATTACATAACCAAAAGATAATATCAGCTCGGGTTTTCTGGTGGCTGAAGTCGCCCAACTTTAGTCGGGGTCACATGTAAGACAACACTGTAATGCGTTTTTCCCCTCTTGTGAAGCTGCCAAAAATGTTCTACCCCCGGCTTCCATTGTTGTTAAGTCAACAAGAACACCAAGTCAGACGTCGCGTACTTCACCAGCGAGAGTCGACCCTCTGCACTTTTAATCCCTCGCCGTGGATGTTTCCACCTGATAAATATTGCTCCTGTGCTTAACAGGGCTTAGGGCCGTTAGTTGATGAACATAAATTATATAACTCTGTTGGGAATATACACATGGTAATCATCGCCTCCGAACTGTGCAAAACTTGGCAGGGCCCTCCTGAAAGGGAGTCGTGCTGACTCGGTGAGGCTTTCCATTGGGTAAACGAGCAGAGTAATTATTTTCTCGCGCGTGTTGTACGTTTGTTGAACTTCTATCTCACTGTGCGTAGCCAACTCCGTGCATAATTGGAAAGTGCGGTGAAATGTTCAGGGGCTAAATGCCATCGTGGACGTCTTGCTGTCTGCGAGAGGGCTTCAGGAAAGGGGAGTTCGTGTCGTTTTGATATCCCTCTTCCATTGAGGGAGCACAGACTAACATCATACTGTCATAATAAACTCAAGATAGCGATCGTTGACTTTGTAAGTGGTCGATTCCTTGCAGGCTTTAGTAATGCAGGTGTTGTCGTGTAATGCAAGTGAAATTGGAAATCCAAGGCCCCTGCCACCTCTTACGATCGATCCTATGGTTTTAATCATCCACCTCTCATCCATGCATTGGCTGATTATATCGCTCCATATTCTCGGTGGACGTCCTCTTGGATTCGTTCCGTCCGTTGGCCGCCACTCCCATCATTCTTGACCCATCCCATGACCGACCGTACCCTTCCCAAGCCCCACTCACTTGATTTTCCAAACACTTGTAAATTATGTCATTGACCTGCGTATGCTTCTCTAATCCACGTGTTGCTTCCTTTGGTCTCTCCCTCAATCTCTCTCTCGGCCTAATGCATTTTCACATCTTTCATTACATGTATTCGATGGCTGGCACACGTCAACTTTTTAAACGGCTTCTCTCCGTTAAAAGCCACTCTGGTGATCATTTCCACCGCGCGCCTTTAAATCGAGCGACGGCACATGGAATGAATAACACGTGTTGCCAGGGCACACGCGTGCGCGTGGCTCAGCTCAGATTTTCACCGCGCATGCCTTGCCACTACAGCTGGTTCTGTGTGCTCTCGTCTGCAGACGCTAGGAGGAAAAAAATACTTTAGGACAAGCGCAGGTACTGTAGTTAAGGTTTTTTTTCCCTCTCTGTTGGCAGCTGGGGGCTATTGTGATTGTCGTCGTGGCCATTATCGAATTAGCGGCCTGTTCGGCACCAGAATGCGTGAAAAAAAAAAACGCCGCATTCATCGCCGTCGCCAAGAGCTGTGGTGGTATCTTAAAAAAAATCTTCGTACCGGCACGAAAAATATTTCTGGACGATGAAGTGGGGACGGGCCACCGTGCCAAAGCGTGATGGCGAAATTTAGAGAGAGTACTCAATTCACTAAAAACTATTACATAAAATTGTTGGGTTTTTTCTTTACCCCCCCCCCCTCTTATTTTTTTTTCTCCCTAGGGCAGGAGGACGCCTGCGTTGAGCGAGTTGTAGTGGCATTAGCCGAAGGGGTAATATTAATCTCAGTCAAATTGCAACAAGGTAATACTGTAGTCGGTCTGACTCTTCAATCACAGAGGGCTTGGAGCCAATGTTGGTTGTGGAGCAGGGGCCGTGTGATTTTTCAGCCTGGCACACTCGTGCACAGGGTCAATCATGCGCCCCTCACTCCCTCGCCCGCTCACTCTCTCGCCCGCTCACTCGCTCGCCCGCTCACTCGCTCACTCCCTCGCCCGCTCACTCGCTCACTCCCTTGCCCGCTCACTCGCTCACTCATTCACACACCCACTCACACACCCGCTCACTCACGCACACGGATCGCTCGCTTGCCAAGTCCGGCCCTCCGTTGTTGATGGCACATGGACCTTCTGTCCTCACGCCTACCCAGGCCTGGGGTCACAGGGACGAGCAGGATTGTGTTTTCATTCCCCGGCACCTCCCCCTGAAGCTCCCAGTATTTATATTGCCCGCTAAGGCCTCTCACGAGCGGTCAGGTCATGGCTCTAGAAAAAAAAGTGATTGTTTACATGCAGCGAGCGCACAGAGTTAAAGCGACATTCTGAACAAATTAAAACATTGTTGTTGTTCTTGCACAACGAGACGTAGATATTCACCTGTACACGAGCCCGTGGCACAGCCGAGGTATGGATGTGTTTGTTGCAATTAACAAAGGGTCGTGGAATGTCTGGTGTTTGTTTTGCTGTTCGTATTTCACGTAAAATGTTGGCGGTCGCGAGCATTTCTGGATGAGTACGCACACTTATTATGCCATTACTTAATATTCTATAGAGTGCAGACAAAGGCAGATGCTTGCAATAGTTTTGACTTATTATTTTAATTTTAAATGCACGGGGCATGCCTCCATGAAGACAAACGTCTCTTGTATAACCTTTAAAGACGCCTGTGGCAAGTGCTGATGTAGGAGCGTGTGTGTGTGTACTTGTGGTGAGCGGTAGTGTAGCGGTTAGCGCGCTGCGCTACAAACCCGGCGACCCGAGTTCGATTCCCGCTCACAGTCAACACCAGTGACGATTATCTGAACCGGTCCTGGGCCTCCCCTAGGTCGACTCAGCCTCAAATGAGTACCTTGTGCGGTGTAAACCTCGCCACTGGGGAGACAAAGGCGGTCGGGCGTGGTGCTGGCCACATATCCCTCGAGTACCGTTCTGGCCTTCATAGGTGCTCGTTAGCAGCACTTGCCCCTACAGTCTGTTCAGGCTAAACGGGAGACCTTTGTCTTTGTGTACTTGGGGTAATATTAATAATACATGTAGTTATAACGCGTTGCCCCTGATAAACCCTACCAACTATATTTTCAGTGCACACAATCGCATACCTGTCAACCCGTGGTAAGTGCCTCGCTTATTACAGACAAATTCAGATCTTATTGGTCACCCGGTGCCCTTATTAATCTCAAAGTTCATCCTAAAAAGTCATATCGCAAAGGAGAAAGACAATTAAATAGAAATCTTTTTTGTACCCGTATTGAAACGGCTGTATGCCATATGGACCTGAAAAAAACCTAAATTTTACTGTACAAACTCTCTTTGGTTCTTTCAGTAAAGTCACGTAGGTAGAAAAATAAAACAAAAATAATACATCACGACGTTTCGATCGCAACACAAGCGGTCGTCCTCAGGCGGACAAAAAAATATAATCCAACTTCTGAACCAACTTATTTTTCTACCTACGTGACTTTACCGAAAGAATACGGGGTGAACCGTGTGGGTTGACGGCTATGCAATCGTGCCCAGAGAGAACACGCGTACACGGAGCGAACATACGGCGTGTGTTTGCGCAGCGGGAGAGATTGTGTCTTCTTCCCTACGTGGCCAAGTTGGGTGGACATCACGAGGGTTTAATGGCCGCCCGTATACTTTATTGCCCCTCCTATTGCACTTTGCTCGTTGCCACGGCAACGCAGAGGTGGCCTCTCTGCGTTGCCACGGCAACGCAAAGGTGGTGGTAGCCGCGCCTTGCCACCGTCGAAGTCGCGCCACCCTGGGCCAGAGGTGGGGGCCGCGGCTGCCTCCAAACAGCCACGAGGTGGAACTCAGCGGTCCACAACTTTCTTGGTACCAGGGACCGATTTCGTGGAAGACAATTTTTTCACGGACCGGGGTGGGGGGGGGGGTCATCATGGGGTCTTTCACCCTTTTCAAAGAAGCTGTCCAGTGACGTTTGTTTTCTTACTCATTTTGGCTACTAGGGGTTAGCAGCTTGTGGGCTTAGCACAACTGTGACTGAGACAAGTGAGCGGTACGGGAAAGAGGCACGGATGAAAGCGGTGAATAATAAAATAATGGGGCAGGCCGCGCGCGGACTCACCGCTCTCACCTCGTACTGCTGTGCGGCCCGGTTCCTAACAGGCCATGGACCGGTACCGGTCCGTGGCCCAGGGGTTGGGGGTACCCCTGCTCTACCTAGTAAGCGAGGCAGCATTGATGTCCGTTGTATGTACGTATCCATAATGTACGGTTTTTTTGGGGTTATGTCACGTCAATATAAATGTGTCGTTAAACCCGCCACCACCCCAACACAGCCAATTGGTGAGGTTTGTTACATAAACACTATGTGCCAATTCGTTAGTACAGCACACCGGTGTGTTGGAGAGCAAATCCACAACATTTACAAACTGATTACGACGTTTCGCCAGTGATTACAACTAGCTTCATCAGTCGCCTGTTGTGTTTAAGCGATTTAACCCCAATTTTGTTTTATTATGGATGATATTGGTCGCAAAAGCCTAGGTGTTAAAACGTATGTATGTCTGTATGTTGAACTTCTTTCACACCATACGTAGCCAACCGCACTAATCGGAGGTGCGGGGGAACGACAACAAACTAAACACCAAAATCAGTTCTAAAGAAATGAGTTTTAAATCTTAATGATTGCAAAGTGCATAGCTCCAGTGGCTTCCTAATATCAGAAGGAAGAGCGTTCCAGACGGCTGCAGAAACGCATTTGAAAGCGCGCGATGCGTTGACCGTCTTTGTTCGATGGCCTGCGAGGATGACCGGATTCCATGTGACGGTTGATGCTCCTTGACGACATCGGCAAGGTATTGCGGTTAATTTGTGGCAAGCACTTTGTGTGTAACGAGTGCCACCTTACAATGCATTCGTTTGGCAACCTGAAAACGTGCCTCCCGTGCTAAACATGTGTACCTCTGATGGCCGCGATCGCAGCTGCAGCGCTGAGCACGCCCCGGGGTTGGTTTTGTGTCCGCACTCGGTTTTCCGGTACAGTCGCTAAACCCCAAATGCTGTGTCCTCTCGTTTTGCCAGCAGGACACAAGGTGAAAAAGCGGCCTCCGCTCACCATCACCAAGGAGGTGTTCGCGCCCACGCCGCCCACGACGTAAGTGCTGCCCCGTCGGCCTGCCACGCGCAAGCCGTCCGGCGGTGGCGAGATGTTAAACTCCCTCGTCTGGTATCCAGGTGGTCGTCGTGTCTTCGATCACGACCCTGAGGACGCCTGGACATTTGGAGTTTGCCTGTCTTCCTCTCCCCGTGGTCGCGTGGATTTTTCTCCGGGTCCTCCGGTTTTTGCCTCCACATTTAAAATCAACACGGGATAAGCCACTTCGTTGAGCTCTCATTTGTGGTCAGGTTGCTTCTGAAGAAGAGCTTTATTTTGATTGAAAGCTTTCGTGACTGCAGGGATACATATTCTTGGTTCTTTCGGTAAAGACACGTAGAAGGGAAATAATAAAATAATATAAAAATAAAACAATAAAAATTCTCACGTTTCGATTGCAACACAAGCAATCATCATTAGGTGTGAAATCCATTATTTCCCTTCTACGTGACTTTACCGAAAGAACCAAGAATATAACAGCTATATTGCTCAGTTGGCCTTAACCTGGCGAGATAAAAAAAAGTTTAGTTTAGTTCCGCTTCTTTCCATATGGCGGAGTGCGGGGTGGCCAGCGACGGTTTTATGTTAGTGTCAAGTCTGTTGAGCCATTCTGACGTCTGCGGGCATGGTGAAGATGATGCAGATGTCTGTGGTCGAAGCGGGCAGTGTTGGACGATGTTAGTGGGGGGGGGCCAGGCGGAGGCAGAAGTGAACACAGTACGTGGGAGATGCCCTGTGAGACTAGAAGATGATAATGACGAGGGATGATGGCGTACGTACGTATGTACATAGCCAACCGTGGCTAATCGCAGGTGCGGGCAAATGGTGATGGTGATAATGGCGGTGAAGGTGATCATAACGATGACCTAAACCATGTCACGCCTTCGTAAGTGATGTTAAAAATGTAAATAATCACAGGTCATTAGGAGACCACCTTGTGCCAAATGCAATCCACAGCTGTGCTTGCTGTAAAGTGGACGGCGCTGTGTGAAAATGACACTGTAATGGAGTGGAGGGAGGGTTGTGGTGTTTCTAACTTTTGGGCAAGCTCTCACCTTTATGTCAGCATACAGGTTACATTTTTCACAGTAGTGATTCAGACTCACCCATAATAGAGGCTTTTTGTGTTAGATCGCGTAAATCTATAAATGTGTCGTTAAACCCTTCACCACCCGACACAGCCAACTACCAGTAAGGGTTGTCACGTAAACAGAACGTGGCCAATTCGTCACTAGCACAGCACACCGGTGTGTTGGAGAGCCAAGCCACAATATTTACACGACGTTTGATCGAGGTTGGGTTTTGATTCTTCCTACTATAAATTATAATAAGTCTTTAAAAACTAGCATTTTGCCCATCCAAGGGACGGGTGTATTGCAGTGCATCCATTCGTGTGCAATTTGTAAGGCCGCGGTGACACAGACTTATTTAATTTAAAGGTTATAATCCCTTGTTCATCATGACGTTATTTTTAGTTCGCGTGACGTGAGGGTTCTGGCTTTGTAGCTGAGGAGGGGGGAGGAGGAGGCGCCTCGCCCCCCCCCCCATGTGGAGTGACGTCACCCGCTCATGATAATTAATGAGGGGGCCTGTTCGATGTGGAGTGACGTCACCTCCATGTGGAGTGACGTCACCCGCTAATTATTATTAATGTAGGGGGGGGTGTCCACGTGGAGGACGTAACCTGTTCATGATTATTAATGAGGGGGGCTGGTCGACGTGGAGTGACGTCACGAGCGTTAACGACATTCCTGGGTGATTATAGTAGTAGTATGCGCACTTTATAATTCTCATAATATGTTTAAAATTTGTATTTTGACTCTGCTTAGGCCACCAAGAGATCTGGATTCAAAGGCATGCATCACTATTGGAGATAAGGTTCGTATGCTCTCCATCATACCACAGTGACGGAAATTCAAGCAATTCTATTACTTACCCAATGTGCGTATGCACACAATCGGGCACAGTGTGTCTTCAGATGCACTGTGTGTACATGCCACGTATTGATTTGTGTTACATCACAGGGCGAACGCAGTGCGAATTTATGACTGTACTTTTACGGGCTACAATCATCAGTCCACTGCTGGATGTTAGGCCTCACCACACCAATGTGATACCTCACGGATCTACGATGGCACAATCTGCCATGCTCATACACACAGTTTGTGTAGACGATGTCATAGTTGAATGTTAAGGGTCCTTCAACTGATCCAAGGCGGGCGGTAGACGCCGCTACGGATTGCAGAAATATACCGCCTGGGTGTGCGTGGATGTCGCAGCTCGTCGGTGACGCGTGCGATGGTTTCGACCTCACCGCAGTTTGGCGATTCTTTGATTTCCCACTTATGGGACATGTACGACGCGCATCTCCCGTGCCGCACCCGAGCGCGGCTCGGCGATGTCCATGGCCGTCGCGGGAGAGACAATCCCGGCACTTCCACGGTCGGTGGTCCTCGACGATGTCTTTGTTCGGCACGTTCGTTTTCCCGACCCGCGTAGCAGCAACTATCGCCGCGGAAATAACGTAGTGTCGTCGAGCCGCCGGTCGCGCCGGTCGCGCCGGTCGGTGGTGTGTGACGGGAACCACCTGCGTGTCAGCAGAACTTTGAGGTGAAGGCCGATGACCTGGAGACCCTGAGCGAGCTGGGCCGCGGCGCGTACGGCGTCGTGGAGAAGATGCGGCACGCGCCCAGCGAGACCATCATGGCCGTCAAGGTGAGAATGACGACGATCAGCTCGCGGCAAAGGTGCAGCCCTGCAGTAGCTTGCTCTCACCTGCACCGGCAGAATGACCTCCGCTATATCGAGCCCCTGTAGAGAGGGTGTTTTGGCCTACTCGTCCGTGATGGTCAGATGTCTTGGAAGAGGACGGAGTGTCGACACTTTGCCCCGCCTACCCCTGACCCCGGGCGTGGTGCTGGCCACCCACCCTCTCGTGTACCGTACCGGCCTTCATAAGGTGCTTGCCAACATCATTCGCCCCAACAACAGTCTGTGAAGGTTATGCGGGGTGGTGGTCTTTATCTTTGTGTACGTGGCTGCCGCAGCGCATCCGTGCCACGGTGAACTCGCAGGAGCAGAAGCGCCTGCTCATGGACCTGGACATCTCGATGCGCACCGTCGACTGCCCCTACACCGTCACGTTCTACGGAGCGCTTTTCCGCGAGGTGAGAGCTCGAGAGGGAATCCCTCGATTCGCCGGGAGCAGACGGTCCCCGTGACTCGTTCACTCTGGTGGCGTCGAGTGTCCGTCTGAAGTTTGACGTTGACTTTGTCGTGCGTTGTCCCCCAACCCACCCCGCTCCCTTTTTAAACAAGGTCACACTACAGGGCTGAGCGCAGGGGGTCATGTCGAAACCATCGCAAACGGCCATTTGCGCGCTTTCAGATGCGCTTCTGCGGCCGGCTGGGATGCCTTTAACTCATCGCGATTGAAAAGTTATTTCTTTAGAACTGCTCCCCCCCCCTCCCCGCACATCCGATTAGCATGGTTGGCTACGTACAGTGCGAAAGAAGTTCAACATGCATACATCGCATGCAACTTATACGAATCCCAATATCTTTTTTCGTCTTTACACGATTCGATTGCATGCATCGTGAGCGTAAACATTTACGTGAATGGATGCGCCGCTCCCACCCCTATTATGGGTGAAGTATTTCCATATGGCTGTGTTTTACGTGCCAGGTGCTTCAGCGGTGTCCGGTCGAGGGGCTCGCTCCCGCCGAGCTGGATGGACTCGCCCTCGTTGTAGGAATGTGGAATTCCCACCGCTTTCTTGCCACCAATAGAACGGCTCGCGCGTCGTGCGTGGCCGCGAAGAGGGTGCCGCGAGCGGCAGCACGGTGGTCAGCACACCGCGAGACAAACCCGGTTCCCTAAGTTCTATTCCCGCTCACGGCTATGTGAACCGGTCCTCCCTTAGGTCGGCTCAGCCTTAAATGAGTACCAGCTGCGGCGGTGTGTAAACATCAGCAATGGGGAGACAAAGGTGGGCAGGTACGATGCTGGCTACACCTGCGTCCTTTGAGGGTTATTGCCCGCCTTAATAGGTGCTCACGAACGGCTCTTGCCTCGACAGCGTTTGGCGTTACGGGTGACCATTGTCATCGTGGGGCTTGCAGGGCGATGTGTGGATCTGCATGGAGCTGCTGGACACGTCTCTGGACAAGTTCTACAAGAAGGTGATCGAGAAGAAGCAGACGATCCCCGAGGACATCCTGGGCAAAATCTCCGTCTCCGTACGTCTCCCGTGTCATCACCTCGCCCGTTCGCAGCCTTTGATCGTCATCGCCACGCTTGCTTGCTCGCTCGCTCGCTCTAGGTGTTAACGATTTCGTGTTTGATAGAGGCGCCCTCCTATGTGGCGCCAAAGTGGCGAGATGTTAAATAACCATACTTCGCCACGCCACGTCACGTGTACCACTGCGGCGAGATGTTAACTACTTCGCCTGGTATACAGGAGGTCATGGGTTCGATCTCGACCCTGATGCTTGTTTATTTGGAGTTTGCATGTCTCTCTCCCCGTTGGTCACGTGGATTTTTCTCCGGATCCTCCGGTTTCTCCCTCCACATTTAGAGTCAATGTGCGTTTAGAGTATTTGGCTGCTGTAAATGTCCACGCGATAAGCCTCTTCGTTGCGCTATCATTTGTGATAGCCAGGCTGCTTCTGAAAGAGAGCTGCATAGCTCAGTGAGGCCTTGCCTCGTAAAATAAAAATAAAATAGAAATGGATGTGTTGTGGCATCTCTCATCTCAACACGTTTGAAAGGGCACCCCCACTGGCAGCTGCCCCTGTGGGCACAAGGTGACTCGGCACCTTCGGCACCTTGTCGTCCTGCAAACGGGCATTCGTGTCCGCTGCCAGTAAGGGGAGCAATGATTTGCTCCGTATTATCCCAATTTACGAACCCGTGGATAATTAAACTTTGTGGCACTGATTTTGTAAACGGCATACTGTATGCAATCTACAATGCTGAGCCGGTTTAGCAAGCGGGCGTACGTGAAGTTAAATATTGCGCTGTAATCAGTGAAACAATGTTCCTCTTACGTGTGCCCTCTCAACAGATCGTTAAGGCTTTGGAGCACTTGCACAGGAAGCTGTCCGTGATTCACAGAGGTAAGGGATTGCGTTGTTGTCGAGCTCCTTCACACACAGCTGCTTGCTCGCCCATCGTCCACCGTCGTGGACTGTGATTGTTGAACCGAGCGCTTTTGATTGGCGGTGGCGAGGAGATGTCAACTACCATGCCTGATGTGCAGGATGTCGTGGGTTCGGTCCCGATCCGGATGCCTGCTGTATATTTGGAGTTTGCGTCTCTCTCTCTCTCTCTCTCCCCGTGGTCGCGTGGATTTTTCTCCGGGTCCTCCGATTTTCCCCTCCAATTTATAATCAACATGCATTTGGCTGCTATACATTTACACGCGATAAACCACTTCGTTGAGCTATAATTTGCGGCCAGGTCGCTTCTGAAAAAAAAAAGAGATGAAAATAGCTCGGTGGGGTCTTGCCTGATAAATTCACAAGTAGTTTCTAGCGTAATAGTTTCTGTCTCCCAATCCCCACCCGCTTGATTTCCCCACTAGATGTGAAACCTTCAAACGTGCTCATCAACACGCAGGGTCACGTGAAGATGTGCGACTTCGGAATCAGTGGCTACCTGGTCGACTCCGTGGCCAAGACAATGGATGCCGGTTGCAAGCCCTACATGGCAGTAAGTATGTATGCATGTCGGATGTATGTTGTACGTATGTATTTTGACCGAATGCCTCGCTGCTGTTTTGTCTCCCCGATGCTAATGTTTGCAAACAAATGCGATGCGCATCGCTGTACTCAAATGAAGACGCGCTCCTTCCGCGTGTAATTAAAAGCAATAAGTTGGGGATGTGCGTCTTATATAATTATTATCTGGCATAGGTGTGTGGGTGAATGCGCGTGCACACGCCAGATTTATGTACAGAAGCTGTATTGACGCTCCCGGGGTGCAAGTTTAGTCTGGGGTGCGTCTTACTCCCCAGAGCGTCTCGTAATCCAGAGGATGTGGTGGTAAATAATTAGAAAGCATCGCCCCCACCCCCTCCACGTGTTGTCCTGGCGGACGTGAGCGAACACTTGACCCCCCTGCAGGCTTTGCTCCGGCGCTGAGCAGGCAGAGCTATTGGTGGTTGCAGGTTGGGTGGCGCCCTCTGCAGGGCGTTTTGGTGTGCTCGTCACCGCTGGATGGGTTCAATAATGATCACCACCGCGATGCAATCGCCCCGCGGACGCTTTCGCTCGACCTCGACCAATCTCCGGAGCGGTTTTTTAGTTTAAAGCCTGGTTAGCGATTCAGTGGGCGAGCACGTGGACAGATCACGTGTCGTCGTCGCGGGGCTGCGGGATGTCCCTACTGGACGTCTGTGATAAAAAGAGATTCATAGCTCATCGGATTCTGGAGTATAAATAAATATTCTGATTCTGAACACGGAGGCAATGGGGCTCTGTCCACAACAAACTTTGGACATTATCTCCTTTTCGGTTTGGGTTTTCTCCGGCTACTTAAAACATTTCTGGCACATCACTCATGAATCGTATTGGACAAACAACCCAGTATTTAAGGGCCATCCCATGAGCGAGTATTTTTTAAATCCTTTATATTAAGTTCACTTGCTTGCTTGCGCGCTTACGACCGTGCAAATCTTTCGGTCGTTTTTTAACCCACTTCCCGTGATCCAATCGAGCTGACATTTTGCACACAGACTCGTTGTGCGTGACAATTAATTTTCGTGAAAATTTTTTCCCAAAATTTTCCACTTTTGAGGATTTTTTGTTTCATATTTAATTTAAAATACCAATGTGATAAAAATGAAACTCTTACTCAAGAAAAACAGAAATGAATAATAAAATAAAACCGATGCCACGCATATAAAGGATTTATAGTGAAAAACTTTGTTTTTACGGGTTAATTTTTATCTGTAAATAACTGCTATTACAGTATCATCATTACTCTTACATTGCCAGCAGCACGGTACTTTACGGCACTTAACAATACATCTATGTTATTTGATCTTTAGACTTTGACCTATTTTTTTCTGCACGTGAAAGCTCTGCCTATTGTTATTTTGTGGCGGTGACGTGTCATGTGTGTTGTCATATTCTTGGGAGGCGTAATTTCAAAATCCACCGTGCTTTATTCAACCAGGTAAGAGACGGCAAACATCTTATTAGCAAATGAACCGCTGTGTGCCTTTTGCTGTCTCTCTTCTTGTCTACAGCCGGAGAGGATTAACCCTGACTTGAGCCAGAAAGGTTACAATGTCAAGTCCGACATTTGGAGTCTGGGCATCACCATGGTAAGTGGAATTCACGAATGAAGTTTATTACATACCAAAGGAGAAATAGGTGGCTTCAGGTGTAGTAGACGTAGGGAGAGAGACACGAAGAAGCTATGTACGTGTGTTGAGCTTCTTTTGCACCGTACGTAGCTAACCGTGGATACTCGGAGGTGGGGGGGGGGGGAAGGATTCCACCTGAAGACGGAAGCTTGTGTTGCCTCCGAAACGTCGTGATTTTTTATTTGACTTTTATTAATTTAAATAAAAATTTTACCTACGTGACTTTACCGAAAAAACCTAAGAGTATGAATCCTTGCAGTCACGAAAGTTTCAAATCTAGAATTAACAAAATAAGCACGAAGAGCTAAAATCGGAGGTGTCAAGCGAGACGCAGGGAGACAGACAAAGGCGGGGGGGGGGGGGGTGGGGGGCAGGGGTCTGAGACCCCCCCACACTGTGATGCTGAGGCGGCTGTGTCGGACGTTTCCCCAAAGGGAGTTTGTGCGAGTCCCAAAATTAGACCGACAGCTCACAGGACAGACGGGCCCCCCCCCCGTCCCCCCCCCCGTCCCCCCCACAGCAGGCAGCACAGACAAGAGCCCAGATTGTAGAAGGATGCGTCTTGCATTTCGCGACGGCCGCAGTGTGTGGACTGGAACTCAGGTTTTTTTTTGTAACCGGGGCTTTACCGTAGCGCCGTGCGTCGGTCGCAGCGTCGCGGGCCCACGCGCCCAGGAGCCAGTGACGGCTCGGGCCGCTCGGCCTGAACCTGGCGGTCCGATTGTAGAGCGGAGGGAGGAGAGGGAGAGAGAGAGGGGAGGGAGGCAGGAGAGGAAGGAGAGGGAGGCAGGAAAAGGAGGGAGGGAGGAGGGGGAGGGAGGAGAGGGAGGGAGAGAAGGGAGGGAGGCAGAAGAGGGAGGAGAGGGAGGCAGGAAAGAGAGGGAGGAGAGGGAGGCAGGAAAGAGAGGGAGGGAGGAATGGAGGAGAGGGAGGGAGGAGGGGGAGGGAGGAGAGGGAGGATGTGAGGCAGGAGAGGAAGAGAGGGAGGGAGAAATGGAGGATAGGGAGGGAGAGAGGAGAGGGAGGGAGAAACGGACGATAGGGAGGGAGGAGGGGGAGTGAGGAGAGGTAGGATGTGAGGCAGGAGAGAGAGGGAGGGGGAGAGGGAGGGAGGAGCGGGAGGAGAGGGTGGTGTGGTGAAGCGAGCGAGCGTCCTTGCCGTGGCAGATCGAACTGGCCATCCTCAAGTTCCCGTACGAGTCGTGGGGGACGCCCTTCCAGCAGCTCAAGCAGGTGGTGGACGAGCCGTCGCCGCAGCTGCCCGCCGACCGTTTCTCCCCGGAGTTCGTGCAGTTTGCCGCGCATTGGTACACCGCGCACGCACGCGCCACCTGCTACACGTTCTTGTGTTAACGTTAACACGACTGATGCCGTCGTCCAGGCCAATCGGACGAGGCCTTTGAGTGCACCGAACTAAACACTGAAGGGACTCTACAACACCTAAATGTGGCTTCCTGGTCAGAAATCTGAGAGGAAACAGCATTGATGTTGTTGCCTTAGAGGAGGGGACTCATTGTATGTTAATGACCTCTTGTTTGTATGACACTCATTGTACGTTAACGGGATCTTGTTTGTCTGACACTGCATGTTTATTATTTTTTAAACGAATGGCCGGTCGAACGACGCGTACACTTATACACCATTGGAACCTCATTTACCAGTAAAAATTATGATAATTGTTTTTTTTACCCTTTTATCTGGCAACAAAAAAAAGGTGTCAGTTTTGTTGCAAGATAAAAGGGTAAAAAAACAATTATCACGACGCATTAACTCTTTTACGTACATTGCGTTGTGATATCTTACTTAAAGTTCAATGTTTGTTTCCCGTTTTTTAAATTTTATTTCAGCCTGAAGAAGAACCCCAAGGACAGGCCAACTTACGCCGAGCTGATGGTAAATGGCAAAACATTCTGATCCTCTGGCTCACTGGCCCACATACATGAATCAGAAACTTTATTCATACTGGAGGAATCCGATGATCTATAACGCTGTTTTTCATAGGCGTGGATTTTACCCAGAGTCCTCCGGGTTTTTCCGAGTATTTGGCTGCTAGAAATGTCGACGTGATGATAAGCCACTTCGTTGAGCTGTCATTTGTGGCCTGGTTGCTTCTGAAAAAGAGCTACGTAGCTCAGTGGGCCTTACCTGGTCAAGTGAAAAGAATAGTTTAGTTTGTATTGTAAACCAATTTTGGTGGAGATTGCTCATAGTGGACACTGCCCGTAGTGGACACTGGTAGCATTTGCCACCCCATGTGGGTACCGACCTAACCCCTTGCTTGGCTCTTTGCTTTAATCGTTGGTGGGCAACCTCACCCAGAAGGGGTCTCCCCCCCCCCCACACTGCACTTCCCAGGAATGAGCGTGCAACGCCTCTTGTGTGCGGTAGAGGTCGCAACACGCACGGCAGATCAGAGTTGGTAGGCACAGCAATGCGGCTGGCGCCCAGAGATCTCTGCCTGCCGCGTGTTGCATTGCTGGCCATGATGTCATCGACGTCCTGTCGCCAGCTATTGTCGTTCCAGCTTTTACACAAGCCTCGGGCTTCTTCGGGCCCAACTACGAATGTAATTTTGGGACGAGTTGGGAGCGACTGTGTGGGTCCCCGTTGGCCCACGGGAATCGTTAGTTCCAAGGGTCCTCGTCTACTTAGACACGTGCGGTGGTGAGATGTTAACTCGCTCGCCTGTTATGCAGGAGGTCGTGGGTTCGATCCTGACCCTGAGTGACGCCCGTATATTTGGAGTTTGCATGTTTTCTCTCTCTCCCCATAGAGAAGACTGAGGAGAGAGACAAATATACAGGCGTTATCAGGGTCGGGATCGAACCGACGTACCCACGAGCGCCTGTATACTAGGCGAGGTAGTTAACATCTCGCCATCGCAACGCTCCTCCTCCCCCTTTGCGTGTTTCAGGAGCACCCGTTTTTCAAGATGCACGACACCAAGGAGACGGACGTGGCCACGTTCGTGAAGCAGATTCTGGTGGAGTCGCCGTCGCAGTGAAGGGGGGAGAGAGAGCCCCGCATGACCTCGACGGAAACACAACCCCCCCCCACACACAGCCCCCACCCCCGCAGGAGGGTGCGACATCTGCAGAATTTTAAAAAATTCGTTTTTTCTAAGCAAGTGTACAAAAATGTAACCTGTTCAAATACCAATCGGCCCTCTCAAACGGCTGCTCGGAGAAAGAGATATATGTAAGTGGCGGTGAGCAAAATGATGTTTTGCTTTGCGGGAGTTTGAAGCCTGCGACGTTTTTGTGAGTGATCTTCAGCGGAATTCCTCTCCGTGATCCTCAAATCCTCAAGCGCGCCCCTCCCGTGTGCCGGCCAGCACACCGCACGCTGCCGCCACCGTTTCGGTGCCGTGGAGCGGGTTGCGATTTTGTTGTTGCTGCTGCTGTTGTTGGTTAGTTTCGAGAATCCTTAAAGTTTCCGGCAAGCGCGACAGTGTCCCCCCACTCGCGAGAACACGGGCTGCTGCAAGGGGGTCAGTCGTGGTTCACAGCGGTGCGACGAGCAGCGACGGTTGTTTCACGGCCCGTTAAATCTACCGCGTCGGCAGCCCGCGTCTAAAACGGGTGCAGTCAAATCCGTTGTTGTTGTCGTCGTTGTTTTGCATTACTTACAAAGTGCGTTCGGTTGTTTGTTGTTGTGTTTTTTGTATCGACATCGCCCTAAAACGCGACGTGGCGTAGTGCGGTTAAGATGAGTCCCTTCTTTAAAGGCGGGGGGGGGGGGGGGGCAGGGGGGCATCGAGCGGAGGGTTGTAACAAAACGACGGTGATGGTTGCCGTCTGCCCGTCCCCTGGAACCTCCAAAGATTCGTGGTCCTGCGGGACCTACCGGGGTCTTGCAGCAGTCTCTGAGGCCTTCACACTCGTCAGCATTTACACCACGATCAGTCGCGGGGCAAGGGGGGTGGGCCCGGGGGGGAAACGATATGAAGCAGAATGATCCGTGATGGTGATGATGATGTTTGTTGATTTGTGAGTGGCTGTGCGTGGTGTGTGCATCGATGGACAGTTTTAGTCAAATTGTTATTTTCGTGTCTTAAGTAACTTTTAATAAGTATTACATGGTTGTTATAGTGTACGTATTTTGTGTGTGTTTGATGGTGGATTTGATTTGGTTTACTTCGTGTTGCCTGAGTGCATAGTGAGCAAGCCCCTTCACCACCCACCATTTATAGAAATGAGGAACAATATACTCGACTTTTGTTTTACAAAGGACCCTGTAAATGTCACGCTTCTTTTGAGTGTGTTTGCAGGAAGAGCTTAAAACAACATTTTTAGCTTTGCATTTGGTGGAATTATGGGCCGATCGGTTACTCGGAGGCTTCTTTGACGTGTTTTCGATCTGATTTAAATTCTGGTCGCTCAGGGGCTGATATACGAGGCCACCGCCTTTAGTACTGTGTGGTTTGAAAGCCACTGACGATGTTTCTGTACATATGTTGAACATTTTTTTCGCACCGCACACAGCCAACTGTGTGCGAAATCGCAGGTGCGGGGCGAAGGACAACAAACTGAACACACAAAAAAAAACAGTTCTAAAGAAACGGGTTTTCAATTTGAATTTAACAGTGCTTAGCTCCAGTGGCTTCCTAATATCGGAAGGAAGAGGCGTTCCAGACGGCCGCACAAGGCGCATCTGAAAGCGCCGCGCGATGTGGTGACCCTCTGTTTGACGGTTAACCAGAAAGCCGCCGCCCCCGCTCCCGCTGCTGCTGCTGCTGCTAAGATGACCGGTGCACGGACGCGGTGAAACTCTGAATTCCTTTTGCTTCCGCGTGCTCCCGGCGCGCTGTTCCCTCCTCGCGGGACTTTCTGGGAACACGCGGTCACGGTGGCGAAAATTCTGGAGGAGAAAAAAAAAGAGAAAGCGGCAGCGGTCGAGATAAAAACGGCGCGTCCGTTGAATTAACAGAAAAAAAAATCTTTTCACGGTGCACTCAAATGCTTTAATACCGCTCAAGATCACACCACGCTCTTTGTTTTATTATAAAGAGGGCCGGAATAAGGATGGCCAAGGCACAACGTTGTGTGCACTGTGGCGGGGGGGGGGGTGCTTGCATTCGTCTTGTCGGAACGAGTTCATCAGGTCAGGACGTAGTCTTACCGGCTGAGATTCTGGGCCTTGGTTGCGGCAGAGGCAAAGCGAGAAGACGGTTTTTATTTTATTTAATGAAGCAAAGTGCCTTATTTGTTATAGTTCATCCTCACCATATCCACATATCGCAACAGACAATAATGCGATTTACTTGTTGTTGTTTGTTTTTCATCGAGGGGCGGCTCCAAGAGCCCCTCTCTTTCACGACCCGGCCTGTTTCACGACCAAGCCCGGACGTGGGCCTTGCCAGTGATTACATTCTCAGAAGCCATGTCGTCAAATCTGTTTTTTTTCCTTCTCTCTTCGTATCAACAACTCGGCTCACGAGATTCTCATCGCGCGTACTCCGTCTACGGTTGCCATCCCAATTTTTTTTGGTTCATTTAGCGCCTTGATTGAAGACTGGTTTTATTTCATTGATTAAGTAGTGCCTTTTAAGTCGGCCTCGCTGGTGGCTAGTGAGCAGAATTTAGCTTTCACCCCCTCCCTCCTTTCCCGCCTCGACGTTTGCAGTCCGAGAGACGGTGAACGGCGTCGGTTCCCTCTCGCGTCTCCCAACTCTTCTTCAGTTACAACCAAAACAAAAAAAAACACTTTCTTCATTCGCTGCCAGAGAATGTTTCGCCTTTGTAATTTGGGCGTGGGGACTTGACGTTCTGCTGTCATTCCGGGGGGGGGCGGGGAGGGCGGTATTGGATGCTGCAGGGTATTTAACATCCATGTTGTCATTTGGAACAATCTTCTCGGCGTGCTTTCACTGTGTTGCGGTGGCGGATGTTTCAACTTGAACGGTCATCCCCATGCACAGAGACGTGCTCTCAGGGAGGAGCGAACAGTGACCACTAGGCCGTCCGGCATTGGAATTCAATTCCACTTCCAGCACTCCTACAGCCAGTGATTTCTCTCTCTCTCTTGTCACTGCTTCGCTTTTCTTCCCTCTGCCCTCTGCGTTCGGCCGCACACTCTCGCAGTGACCCTGCATGCTCCGCCGAGCGCGCGAAAGCAAGACAATAGCTCCGTGCTGAAGACTAGTCGGCCTCATTCGTGTGCGTAACGTACGGGTGTATTTTAAATATTCTTTCACACCGTACGTAGTCAACCGTGCTAATCGGAGGTGCGGGGGAAGGACAACAAACTAACACAAAAAGCAGTGCTAAAGAAATGAGTTTTCAGTCGAGATTTAAAGTGCATTAGCTCCAATGTCTCCCTAATATCGGAGGGAATAGCGTTCCAGACGGCCGCAGAAGCGCACGTGCAAGCGTGTGATGCGGTGACCACCTTTGTTCAATGGTTAGCCAAAGGCCGCTGTAAGGATGACCGGAGTTCACGCGATGGTTTCTGCTCCTTAACGAGATCAGCAAGGTACTGCCATAGTGGCAGTACAAAGATAAAGGTGCAGCCCCTGCAATCGCCTGCTCTACGCCACTGCCAATGGAAGGGCCTTCGCTCGGAAGGATCTCCTCGAGGCTATTCGGCCAGGCGTTGTGGAAGAGGTGGCAGAGTTACCCACACTTTACCCCGCCACACGCCACCTGCCGATCCGACCGACTGGTGCCACCAGTTGTGCCGCTGGCTTGGGCAGAGGTGGCGGGTGACGTTTTTAAATCCTTTATAGTAAGTTCACTTACTTGCTTGCTTGTGCGCTTACGACCGTGCAAATCTTTCGGTAGTTGTTAACCCACTTCGCGTGATCCAATCGAGCTGATATTTTGCACACAGACTCGTTGTGCTTGACAATTTATTTTCGTGAAAAATTTTTTCCAAAATTTTCCACTTTTTAGGATTTTTTTTCCATATTTCATTTAAAATACCAATGTGATAAAAATGAAACTCTTACTCAAGAAAAACAGAAATGAATAATAAAATAAAACCGATGCCACGCATATAAAGGATTTATAGTGAAAACCTTTGTTTTTACGGGTTAATTTTTTTCTGAAACTCGCTCCATTGCCTCGTCAGCACGTGGCATCGAAGCAGGATTTCAAGTCCAGCGCGCTGACCTTGATTTCACGGGCGAGTCGGCCCCACCGATGTCGGTGAAACGGGGAGAGCGCCTGTAAATGTTGCGGCTTCCCTTCCGTCTCCTGCTTTCTCAAGAACGCATCTCTTTGCCTCGTCTATATCTGTTCCGCCGTTGGAAAACCAAAATGCCGAGCAAAAAGCGCACGTGGCGAGGGAGCATCGTTTGCGCCAAACGTCGCTCTCTCCAGAATCAAGTCTTACCTTTGTAAGCATATTTATTCCCTTCATTGTTTTGTTTCAGATGGTGTTTATTTATTATCAGTGCCATCGACGTCGCTGTCAGATCGAGTGTGGGTTTTGTTGTTGTTGTTGTTGCTGTTGTTGTTGTAAAGAGAATGATAAATGTTGCGTCTTTCAAGAGCTCTAGTGACCGCGCCAACCGTGGGATACGAAAGAGCGGCGTTATAAAAAAAAAAGTCACGAGCATATTTATTTGCATAGACGTACTTTATTTGCTGTCTAACTTGGAAGTTAACCCGAGGTTGTTTTTTTGCCTCCCCCCCCCCCTGGTTTTTCTTTTTCCCAGCTCAGAATTGATGCAATTGTATTTAAAAGCTTAAACAAAACAAAACGAAAAAAGAAAAATGGGAAGCATCATTATAAACGTGCTTTTTATTTTCGCGTGCAACGTAATCCACCGCTCGGAGTAATACACGACGCGTTTGTGAAAATGCGGCAAATATATGCAATACCTGGGGCAGGCGGTATGGTGAAGCGGGGGGGGGGGCAGGGGGGAGGGGTGGGCATTCTTCAGCAATACTTGAAAAATGGGGGGGGGGGGGGTGCGGCTGGTGTCAGGGTCATGTCACAACTGGGTGTTACGGACGCGCGCGCGCGCGTTCCCCCCCTCCATCCCCCCCATGATCCCACGCGCGCGTGCGTCCCCCCCCCCCATGATCCCACGTGCGCGCGTGTTCCCCCCCCCCATGATCCCACGCGCGCGTGCGTTCCCCCCCCCCCCCCCCCCCATGATCCCACGTGCGCGCACGAACTTTGCTTTTTGGTTTGCGGACCCGCGAATCCGCCAGCTTGAGTGCCGCAGCAAGCGGGGGGTGGGGGGGGGGTGACGTTTTAAGAGGAGTAAGTGTACCGCGCCTTTTCACATTAAACCGATTTGAAATCACCCGTGGAACGCTCCGAGTCGTCGCCTCGATTTGTGTTTGCGCGTGGAGAACAGCGCGGGCGGGAGCGTTCGGCGCGACGAATCCGACGCACCCGAGTTCGAGTCCCGCTCACGGCCACGGACACCGATGGCTGACTACGGTGCTGTGTGTGTGTGTCGAACTTGTTTGGCGCACCGTACGTAGCCAACCGCGCTAATTGGAATTGCGGAGGGAGGGGGTAAAGGGCAACAAACTTGAACACACACACAAAAAAAATCAGTTCCAAAGAAACGTGTTTTTTGTCAGTGTAGACGATTTGAAAGCGCACAGCTCCAGGTAGCTTCCTAATATCGGAAGGAGCGTTCCAGACGCCCGCAGAAGCAGCCGCATCTAAAATAAGTGGACATCGAACTCGGGTGGCCGGGATTGCAGCTTCTTCCAAGACAAAGATCCCCATATAGCCCCCACAAATTGTTGATCGCAAGTGCTGTTAACGAGCATCTAAAGAAGGCCGGCACAGTGCACGAGGAGGAGTGGGTGGTCAGCATCACCTGCCGGACCGCATTTGTCTCATTTGAGGCCCCAGGACCGGGTCACATAATCGTCACCGGTGTTGGCCGTGCGCGGGAATCGAACTCGTTAATTCTAGATTTGATGACGGACGCTTGTGTTGCGCCCGAAACGCCGTGATTTAATCGAGTTATTTTCATTTATTTTATTTTTTTACCTACGTGACTTTACCACAAAAAACCAAAGAGTACGAATCGAACTCGTGTTTGTTGTCGGGTTCGTAGCGCTGTGCGCTCACCGCGAAACGACAAATCCCCAGTTACTACCGCACGGTACGGCACAGGATATATGCCCTGTCACTTGTGTTCACCTGCATTGCCAAGGGCCCTGGTGTGAGTGTATGTGACCGGAGTTCGCGCGCTGCAAGCCGACACTGGAAACGGAGGCATTCCACGACACTATTTTAGACGGGACAGTCTTATGAACATTATCCACTCGGCTATTTTTGAACTTCTGGGGTACGCAGAAAAGGAAAGCGCCTGAACGCGAGTCTGTACGTGACCAAGACAAGTTTACATCAATTGACCCCGATAGAAATTTCCAAAAAAAAACTCGCAATCGGTTGTCAACCGTATCTCTCTCCCTCTCTCTGCTCATGTCACTCTGCACCACAGCTCCTGTCACCCTGCACTACAGCTCCTGTCACCCTGCACTACAGCTCCTGTCACCCTGTACCACAGCTCCTGTCTCCCTGCACCACAGCTCCTGTCACCCGGCACCACATCTCCTGTCACCCTGCACCACAGCTCCTGTCTCTCTGCACCATAGCTCCTGTCACCCTGCACCACAGCTCCTGTCTCCCTGCACCACAGCTCCTGTCACCCTGCACCACAGCTCCTGTCTCCCTGCACCACAGCTCCTGTCACCCGGCACCACATCTCCTGTCACCCTGCACCACAGCTCCTGTCTCTCTGCACCATAGCTCCTGTCACCCTGCACCACAGCTCCTGTCTCCCTGCACCACAGCTCCTGTCACCCTGCACTACAGCTCCTGTCTCCCTGCACCATAGCTCCTGTCACCCTGCACTACAGCTCCTGTCATCCTGCACTACAGCTCCTGTCACCCTGCACCACAGCTCCTGTCTCCCTGCACCACAGCTCCTGTCTCCCTGCACCACAGCTCCTGTCATCCTGCACTACAGCTCCTGTCTCCCTGCACCACAGCTCCTGTCTCTCTGCACCATAGCTCCTGTCACCCTGCACTACAGCTCCTGTCATCCTGCACTACAGCTCCTGTCTCCCTGCACCACAGCTCCTGTCTCCCTGCACTACAGCTCCTGTCTCCCTGCACCACAGCTCCTGTCACCCTGCACCACAGCTCCTGTCTCCCTGCACCACAGCTCCTGTCTCTCTGCACCATAGCTCCTGTCACCCTGCACCACAGCTCCTGTCTCCCTGCACCACAGCTCCTGTCACCCTGCACTACAGCTCCTGTCTCCCTGCACCACAGCTCCTGTCTCCCTGCACCACAGCTCCTGTCACCCTGCACTACAGCTCCTGTCTCCCTGCACCACAGCTCCTGTCTCCCTGCACCACAGCTCCTGTCACCCTGCACTACAGCTCCTGTCACCCTGCACCACAGCTCCTGTCTCCCTGCACCACAGCTCCTGTCACCCTGCACTACAGCTCCTGTCACCCTGCACCACAGCTCCTGTCTCCCTGCACCACAGCTCCTGTCACCCTGCACTACAGCTCCTGTCACCCTGCACCACAGCTCTTGTCTCCCTGCACCACAGCTCCTGTCACCCGGCACTACAGCGACGGTTTGGGAAATCATTCATCTAGCAGTGGACAGTTCATGGATGATGACGATGATGATAATGATACGTTTGTGCATACGTACGTAAGTTGCGTACGTGTATCAATCTACATATACGCCATCTCGTAATTGTGTAACACAATCATACTTGACGTCAACAAGTCTGAACTGTCAACAACAACAACCGTGCTAGTGGGGGTGAGTGGGGTGGGGTGGGGTGGTTGGGGGTGGGTGGGGGGTCGCGAGACGGGATGGTGGGACTTCTGCGGATGTCTGCGGTGGGTGGGGGGCTGGTGGGGAGGCGACCGATTGGAGTTGAGACGCGGCGCGCATTCGCAGTGAACGTGGCGGCATTACCCAACTCGCTCGCAAGACACAAAGCGGGTTAAACAAAGATAAGGCACCTCCACCCACCAATCCACCACCCACTCACCACCCACTCACCCACCACCCACTCACCCACCCACCACCCACCAACCCACCACCCACTCACTCCTACACCACCCACTACCGCAAGCCAGGCTGATCTAACAACCCGCATGGTCACGGTAAAGATGGGGCGCCACTGTGGGAAGATGTTAACGAATATCCAGATGTCTTGTGACCCCATTTAATTTTGTAAAACTTAATATTTTTCAAGTAAAGTTTATATGAAACAGAAATGAATATGCAAAGGAGGGCAATGTTAGGGGTTGATTAATTTTGTGTGTGTGGGGTCACAAGGCATCTGGACCAGATCTGTGTCAATCCACTGCTGGATGACGGTCAACACAACCTCCCTGTGTCGTGGCTGTCGGTCGTGGCGAGTCGTTTGACCATACTTCACCACGCCGCGTCGTCACGTGCACCACGGTGGCGAGATGTTAACTACCTCGCCTGGTATGCAGGAGGTCGTGGGTTCGATCCCGACCCCTCAAGCTTGCTGTATATTTTGAGTCTGCGTGTCTCTCTCCCCGTGGTCGCGTTGATGTTTCTCCTGGGTCCTCTGGGTTTTCCCTCCACATCATCACGCGTTTAGAGTCGTTGTCTGCTGTACATATCCACACGATGAGCCGCTTCGTTGAGCTATCATTTGTGGCCAGCTCGCTTCTGAAAAAAGCCGCTATATAGCCCAGTGCGCCTTACCTGGGGGGAAAAAAAGGTTAGTTTAGTTAAAATTAAAATAAGTTTTGTCATTAGACCTCATCCATTTAAGTGATCAAAACTGGCAATGGGCGTGGCACGATGTTGCTCCATTGGGTCGAGATTGGTTGCTCGCTTTCACACTTTGGGGCGTTTCTAAATTGTCCGTTAGGGGCCGTCCATAAATGACGTCACGCACCCAGGGGGGGGGGGGGGGTCAGACATTTGTGACGATGTGTGACGAGGGGGGGGGGGGGTTGAGAAATGTGACGTCACATCAAAATGCGCAACTTTAAATAAATATAGACAACACGGTCTACTTAATTAAATAGACTTTTTAATCAATGTTTTCTCCTACAACATCCGAGTGCAGCGGCACATTAAACACGCACTACAATGACAATAGTTTAAAGCGATTTTAAGCATTTTTATTTTTTTGGTGGGGGGGGTAGAGCTTTGTGACGTCATATTTGAGGGTGAGAGGGTCTGACTTTTTGTGACGCCGTGTGACGAGGTGGGGGGGTCAAAAATCGTCAAAAATCGCGTGACGTCATTTATGGACGGCCCCTTAGCGTGTAACAATGAGACGATATCGCCGCACCTGACATGCAAAGCTCCCCATACGATAGTGGATGCCAGCCCCGGTGGTGCTTGTGGGATGAATTGAAATCGGGAGATTATTTCGTGTCGTCAACAATGACGCGCCCATTGTGGACTGCACGTTGGCACCGTCCTCGGATGCTCCCGAACTGAGCGTCAGGATTCAACGGGGACGCATCCAAAGTGGGTGCGTAAGACCTTCCTGATTTAGCTTTACAATCTTTACTTAGCTTCGACAGTGAGCGCGTCTTTTTACGCCTAGAAGGTGGATCGGGTTTGATGGCCAATGAATCCCAGTGTTGTTGTTATGCAGTGATATCCTTTCCAAGCTAGCTGGGTAACTGGCTACACGGGATGTTTTTCTTATTCTTCTTCTTCCGTGAAACAAATACACGTTGAAATATCTAGGAGTAAATACACATTGAATTGATTTGCTGGACTAACTAAGTGTGTTAATTCTAGATTTGAAGCTTTCGTGACTGCAAGGATTCATATTCTTAGGGTTTTTCGGTAAAGTCACGTAGGTAAAAAAATGTAAAATTATTTTTTTTACCTACGTGACTTTACCGAAAAAAACCTAAGCATATAACTAAGTGTGTTTGCAATGTGTCATCGGCGTTTGATTTTTTTCTTTTTTAAATATGCA